AAATGCATATCGGAATGATGACCATATATAGGTGCCGTTAAATTACAGTTCCCTGTGGGAGAGACGGAGAGTAACAAAGGAAACTAGTCTGACTATGCACGACACTTGATAAATGCCTTTAACAAGCTCTAGTTAAACTTCAGCGATTTGCTTGAAGGTCTATTTTAGTATTATCCTCCCATTACGCCTAGGTCTCCGTTTCTTCAAGGTTTATAATAAATGTTTTATATGTATTTCTTAACTCTCTCGTACGTGCTACATTATTCGTCCGTGTCGTCAGTAAATGTCACCGTGATGGAGTACAGATTATGAAGTTTTTAATCATGAAATTTTCTTCAGGTTCATATCAGGATATACGTTTAATGTACAGATATCCTCCCCAGCAACTTATTTTCAAAATCCTCATTCTTTGTTTTTTCGTAAATGCAAGATTTCACGTTTCACAATTATAGAAAACAATAGATAAAATGGTATATTTTTAGAAGCGTAATTTAATATTTAGTTTTGTCTCTTTACATAGAATACTAACTAACTGATCAACTAACTAACTAACAAACTAACTAACTAACTCCCTGGTCGCAGAACCTGCAACCGACAATACCAAAGTCCGCCACTGGACACGATCGTGAGCCAACTCCATCCATCTAACATTCTGACAGCATCGGAGACAGAAAAAAAATATTCTAAAATGACGAGTGTCGGTACTTTCCCGAATAAATTTAGCTCTTAATTTATTTGTCATTCAAATTCTGATTCGGAATCTGTTTTAAAATGGTGTCGAAGTTACTATAAGCAGACGTGGTCGAACGTTTACGTTTTGGAAAAGTGCACGGACCTTAATAACAAAGAATCAAATTGGCATTTTTGTAATTGTGCCCTTTTTGCACTAAACTCTTCAATTAATCTGTCGCAAGACCTGTTGTGACAGACCGCAGTTTCTATGGTTATATGATCGCGTAGGGTTTTGTGATCGTCACGATCTGTTGAGGGAAAAGATGAGAAGTATTATTCATTTGATACTTTCAAGACTGCATTCGACTATTAACTTCAAACTTTCCTCGATGTCTTCACATTTAGATAACTCGTTGATGTATACCGAATGTAATGTAACTACACTTCACATGGCTAAACGAGTATCAGATTTGGTAAATTTAAGGGCATATCAATTTCGGCTTCCTTTGTGGTTTTGGTCGACGCACTCAGCTCTGGTTATTCGCCCTGTGTGAGGTATATAATGACTTCATTGTGCCGTCGAGACAGCTGTTATGAGCAGTCCCAAGTTAAAGTGTACACCGGTTATGATTTTGAACACAACATTTGATTGACTTCATCAGGGAAGTTTGGCGTAGCGATCCTCAGTTGTCTTTCGAAGTACGAGCAACATTACAGGTGATTCTGACGTACTTCTTTCTTCCGTCTTGTATTACTTTGATTTTCTTTATCTTTTTATATGAGTGATTGAAACTAATATTTGTAAGCCTGTCTGTCCATTTGTCCTTATGTCCGCATGTAAGAACTCAAGAACATTTGGATGAATTTTCATGAAATATGGCATGAAGAGTCTTACTGGAATTTGAAGATTTCTGTCTTCTGGGTTGTTGCGCTGTGTAGTCTGGTCGATGTTAACCAACGTTTGAATTTGTTGGCACGTTCCTCTGTTGGTTAAAGTCGGACGGCGACAACGGGAACTTTACATTACACATTCATTTGTTTCTGCGAGCGGAAGTGAGCGGTTGAGGAACGTCCGGGTGGGGAAACCCCTCTCCCCGCTTTGAAAATCAGAAACCAACCTAGAAACGTGGGGAATCCCCAAGGGAATCCTCCTTGATGACGTAATAAGCCAGCAGGACAGGCGACATCCGGAAAAATTTGGCGTCAATGGAGTTTGGGGTTATGGTACAAGAAATTCAGTCGTAATCGATCGTCGATTGGTTACGTGACAAAAAGTCGATGTTTACGTGGTTACAGATCAGCAGACAGTGCGTTTTATGTTACCGTAAGAAACACTGAAAGTGTGTGGGCCGCTGTCCTTCTATATGACGCGTTTCTTGGTGGGGTCCAGTTTCGTCGTGGCTCGTCCACTATTCAAGTAACTCAATACGTAACAAACGCATTGTCTTTCAGAATGACGTTTGAACAGGTAGCATGTTATTTGTGTTTTGAGATGCTAATTCCATATTTCCATTGCTTCTATTGTCTTCTTCAGCTATTAACACCTTCAACAGGTTGATTCACTGTGGAGAACTCGTG